GGATCGCAACCCTCGGTGTTGCTCCCACACCTCGCTCAGCCAGTGAGCTCGTATAACTTCGTATAATGTAAAACAAAAAAAAAACCAATGCATTCAAAGAATTAATGTGGTCTTAAAAAAAAAAAGAAAAGAAAAAAGAATTATGTGGTCTTACAGAAAGGGAAAGACAGTAAATTTATTCTAACATGCAAAACTCATTTAAAATTAAGAACAAATTACTAGCAACATCACAGAAAACAGCATTCTCTGAGGGTGGCCTTAAAAAGATGTTATTGTTTGTACTGATGATTTATATATAAAATATACAATGTATATTTCTTATTTAAAATGCATGCACTAACTTCAAACAAATTACCTTGCTTCTGTTCACAGTTCACAGCACAGCCTAAAATGAGTTGAAGCATCCTCCCGAGCTCTGCTGCATCAGAATGCTCCCCAATAAGGTTCACATCAGGGAGGGTAAAGTCATTAATTTGCTGTCCTAAAATCTGAATCAAGATAAAAAGATTACAATTGCATTTACATTTATATGACCAAATAAAATATGTGACAGACATTAATTTGTTATCACCAGAAACTCACCATCAAGGAAAGAGCTATTACATCAATCTCACTCCCAATTTCTATTTTTACTTTCCATACCTACCTAAATTATTACGATCTTGAGTTACAGCAACTTAGTCCCTAATCTGCTATGTGTTACGTACACTGAGCAAAGACAGAGTACTATTGATCCTTCTACTACTCCAAGAAGGACCGAAGCAGCAGAACCTGAGGCGTCTGAACAAGGGGGTACCAGGAAGAGCTGAGATTAAGTAAGATCCCTTTAGCCACCTTCACTCCATGTGACTCCCCAAATGCTGGCAGCAGATGCCTATATCAGGAAGGAAAATGGAGGATTCTGTCATGGGGAAACTGACTAGACCCAAATGAAATGACTTATATGCAGACAAATGGGTAGGTCTGTCTGCTAACCCTCCAGTGAAATTAACCACTAAAATAGCACCGCCACGGTCTAGGCAAAAATTTTACAGAGCAGACTTCTAAAGCACAGGCAACTGGCTCAGTTGGTAAGATCATGGTGTTGTAAAACCAAGGTCAAGGGTTTGGATCCCCATACCAGCCAGCCACCAAATAAATAAATAAAGCACAGGCAATGAAAGCAAAAATAGACATATGGAATTACATCAAACTAAAAAGCTTCTGCACAGCAAAAGAAACAACCAACAGAGTGAAGAAGCAACCAGAATGGAGAAAATATGTGCAAACTATTCATCCGACAAGGGATTAACATCCAGAATGTAAAAGAGACTTGACATCAAAAAAACCCAAATAAGGGGCCGGCCCGGTGGTGCGCTGCTACAGTGCGCCGCTTGGGAGTGTGGTGGCGCTCCCGCTGAGGGTTCGGATCCCACATACAGACCGGCCGCTCACTGGCTGAGCGAGGTGCGGGTGCAACACCGAGAGTTGCGGTCCCGGTCCGGTACGGGCGCAACACTGAGGGTTGCGATCCGTTGCCGGACATGAAAAAAGACAAAAAGGAAAAAAAAAAAAAA